GTGCCTCAGGTTACCAGACTACCATGTTGCCTGGAAAAGCAAAATTGTCATTTAATTAGTTTCTCCTCAACCACTATCTGCTCAACACTAGTAATTATCCCTGCTCTATTTTACAAGTCATTCATAATTATGAATTCAATGCTACAATGCTAATCTGTTGCAAAATGAAATTGAATATCTTGCAAACCATGCAGAATTTAATTGAATGAATTACAGGCTTGGTAGAGAACAGAACCGCAGGCCATGCCACGGACAAATGAGGCTCAAGCAGATTAGGCTAGGGAAGAGCAGAGGAGAGAAAATCAGCAGGAAACAGCTGATGACGTTCCTTCCTCCCCCTCCGAACCTTGCCCTGCAGCTATCTGCCATTCCATCCATGAGCACTTCCTGCCTCTGCCTGCTGTGGCTTTGAGCTCTGTGAGAATGGATCCCCTGGGCGAAGTTCAATTGAAGAAATGTGTCCATTACATCAAAACCCATTTAATAAATTCCTCCTAGAAATCAGTGCCAGGAAAAAATTTGCTCCAACAGTTACATTTGTTTATGTTATTTTATGAGACAGTGAAAACCTCATATGGCTTTCCCCTTTTTACCTCAGCTACCAGGAAGCTCAGAGCTAAATTACAGTAACCACCCCCGGGTGCATGTAAATACCTGTTTTTCTATGTCTGTTAGCTGGTCTTTGTTCTTTTTTTCCCCTGAATGCTCTGTAGGAGTGGGTGATTTCCACATGCTAAATAAATATAACATTATAGCATGTTCTCCTTGCTGAACTGAGCATTCTGTAAAGGGGTAATTAACTTATGTTTGCAGAGGTTTCCTCTGACATCTAAGGTATTATACTTCACAATCTTTCCCTTTGTATCACTCATATTGGTGGTAAAGCAGGAGAAGTAGATTGTTTATTTCCTCCCAATTATACAAATGAGAATCTCAGAGCTTAGAATTATAGAATGTTAACATTAAAAGATCCTAGTCTAGATCAACTTCCAGAACAATGGATTAGGACCTCAAAAAGTCCACTCCCCCATAAAAGCAATGA